CAGCACTGTCATTCCCTGCTGCGGGGAAGCAGCCAAACCACTGACAAAAGCCAGACCAAGATTATGTTCAACTGCCTGTGCAAATAACTTGTGCCACAGCCCGTGTCCTCATCACCCTTTGGGAGACGTAACAAACCTTTCTTCTGCTCCCTCTCTGCAAAGGATGTGACTGTCACGGTTCTAACAAAAAGAACTGAAGTTTTCTCTGCAGACCCAGCCTGCATTCTGCCCATCCTTCCACCTGATTCTCCTGTGTTAGCACACTGACCAATTCCAGCTGTTCCTTCTGAGATGCCACTCTTCAAAAGCAGGGGCTGACAGCTGTCTGCACACTGTGCTGTCACATTTGGTAGGATGTACCTGTGTTATCCATTGCGTTAGAGAGCAGGTAAGAGCCTTCTGAACTCAGACTGAGGCCCGTCACTGAGTCTGCATGTCCTCTCATGGTGTATGTGAGCTTGTTCTGGCGAAGGTCCCACACCTTTCAGACAGTAGACACAAAATTATGGCTTAGAAAGGACAGAAAAGACTATCAGCAATGCTCTTTCCAAACCATTTCATGCAGGTACTGATCAGCCATGTGATGAAATCAGTTTTCAGCTTCAGTTGGGTGAGGTCTGAATGGCTAAAATATAAGGCTATAATGTTATGTATTGTCCTCTAAAGGGCAATTTTTTTTTTCTCTATTTCTTACCTAACACATCCAACCACATTAGTAGAAAACAGTTAAATTTCAGCAGCTTATGTATGCAGAATTCCCTTTCAATCTGGCCTAGCTCCCTCAGTTCCCGAATTCCACTGACCCATGGCACAGAGAAGCAGCTGTCCAATCTCCAAAATTTCACACTGTTCTTTCTCTGAGAGTTACTGCCATTCAGAGGGCAATCAGAACAGATATCATTTCAGTACTATACTTAATGGTGGCCCTCTGACAAATATGTGCTCTTCATGCCTAGGTAAGACTGGAGACTGGGGCTGAAGAGACAGTAAGAGTGACTGAACTGTGAAGCTATCAGGAGAATCTCAGCTACCAAATAAATGAAACACTGAGAGTGCTCTTAAATAAGAACTTTCCACAGTAGCAGGTGACAAAGTAAATTATCGAAGCAGAGGTCAGAGAATGTGGATGTGTCACCAAATTTTCTTTAGCCTACCTCATATATGGCTCTAGAGCCTCTGTGAGGGGAACCAGCTGCCAGAAGAGCTTGCATACCATATCACTGGCAGTGTGTGACAGCAGCACTAGGATGTGTGGCCAGTCACATGGCAGACAGCCCTGGAACAACTACCTCAGTTTGTTGGCCTTAGATCAAGAGAGAGGTTGGACACAGTGGATCAGTGCATTTCTTGTGACAGTAAAATTAACCAATAGTCTTCCACATTTGTCCTTGACCAATGAGGCATTTTGCATGCTGCTAAAGCAAATATTAATGGGATGGAAAAGGTGAGTCTGGTTGGAAAGAAACACGAGGACACAAGTGTCATACCTTAATATCATTGTCAATGCCTCCAGATATGATCTGATCACTGGTGTCATTGAAAGTTACAGCCAAGACCTGGTAAGTGTTCTGAAATGTCTGGACAGCAGCTTTTTTTCTGATATCCCACAGCTGAAAAGATATTGTGGTTGTAAAACTTACATGTAGGAAGTTGCACACATGCTTTCACAGAACCATAGAGTGCCCTGGGTTGAAAAAGACCACAATGATCATCCAGTTTCAACCCCCTGCTATGTGCAGGGTCACCAACCAGCAGACCAGGTTTCCCAGAGCCACATCCAGCCTGGCCTTGAATGCCTCCAGGAATGGGGCATCCACAGCCTCCTTGGGCAATCTGTTCCAGTGCCTCACCCTCTGAGTGAAAAGTCTCTCTCTGCTTTGCAGAGACTCAGACCAGTCTGCTAAAATCCACTCTTTCACACCTCAAAGGATTTTTACAAAAACCACAGTACAAGTCTGTTGTTGCTAAAACACAGAAATTTCCCGATTTTAAGGAAAAATAGGAGGGAGGAAGGCAGTTGAATAAAAGATTTCAGAAACTGCTTGCCTTCCACTTGTTTGATTAACACTACTCAGCAGAAGAAGTGCAATTAAGTAGATTAATTTTGTTAACAGTCATTCGAAAATTTACAGCAGGATCAACTGAATTTCTTTTCTGGAATCAAAGTTTGTTGATAAAAAAAAACTATGAGAGTTACTAAAAGGTGAATTCCACCAATTTAAATGGAAATGAACAGGTAACATTCTTGGAGATCCTATCTTATTTTCATTGTAGTCTCCATATACTGACCTTCACTGTCCCATCATCACTGCCTGTACAGACAAGTTGAGGTCCTCGTCTTGCTGGGTAGCAGGAGTTCACAAATGAGGTATGGCCCTTCAGCCTCTTCACTCTCTCTCCAGTCTCACTGTCCCACACAGCCACAGTCTTGTCTGTGGATGCTGAGAAGAGCATGCTGTGGAGAAGAACCACTGTGAGATTCTCAACACTGGAAGCATTTCTCCCATCCCACTTTCTTACTCTACAGACATGAGGTCACAGCTTGAAATATCAAGTGGGAGCCACTGAATCAGACATTCATTTTGGTTGAAAAGATCATGCCCTGTAACTTGTCACCTGAAAAAATGAGACGGACATCCTTCTTGCTCCAGCCACCTTTCTTGCTACAGTTGCTGAAGGAAACTGAGTTGTTTTATCTGGAGGAAAAGGGGCTGGCAGGAGATCTCACTGCTCTCTACAACTGCCCAGATCCTTTCCCACAGGACACCCTTCCAGCCACTCTACCTGAGCCTATACCATTGCATTGTTGTGACCCAAGTGCAGCACTCAGCTTTGTTGAATGTCATGTCACTGGACTCTGACCATCAACTCAGTCTACCCAGATCCATCTGCAACACTCCAGCCCAACTTGGTGTCACCTGCTAATTTCCTGATGGTGCACTGAAACTCTTCATCAGGACCTAATGAAGATCTGATAAAAACATTACATGAAACTGGCCCTGGTCCTGTTAAAAACTATGCCCAACGTGCAAAGACAAATGTGATGTTTCATAGCAGGCTGACAGACAGTAGATCAAATACAGAGGAGGTGCTTTCACCAAACCCCATTTCTATATAAAATTATAGAAAGGATTTCGGACTCCTCAGACACAGTCTGTGATGGAACTGGGAATTGGGGCTGTTTAGTCTTGGGAAAAGGAGGCTGATTGCTCTCTTCCAATACCTGAAAGGTGCTCACAGTGAGAGCAGGGCTGGTCTTGTCTCACTGGTGACAAGACGAGGGAAAATGGCCTCAAGTTGCGCCAGGGTAAGTTTAGGTTGGATATCAGGAAAAATTTCTTTACAGAAAGGGCTGTTAAGCACTGGAATGGGCTGCCCAGGGAGGTGGTTGAGTCAGCATCCCTAGATGTGTTTAAAAACCGTCTGGATATGGTGTTCAGGGACACGATTGAGTGGAGGGTTGTTAGTTAGGGTACTATGGTTAAGTTGTGGTTGGACTCAATGATCTTTAAGGTCTTTTCCAACCTGAGTGATTTTATGGTTCTCTGGGAAGAGAAAAAGGAAAGTCTAGCAACCTCCTGGTTCAGATGCAATGGTGGAAGAACCTTTTGAAATAAAAAAAAACACATACGTGTTCTCTTTCCCACCCCAAGCAACTAGCGTTTCCCACATCATCAGCATGAGCACTCAGATTTCTGAAGATTGAAACCAAAGGCACTTGTATGTCACAAGTGGCTCCACAGTCAACGCTCAGCCTCAAGCAGACACCACTCCTAATCTGGAAAAGTGCTGCAAGGGCCACTGGCTGAGCTGGAGCAATGAGGAGGTGCTGTGCAGGGCTCTGTCCAGCAGAAAACATCTCCCCCTTGAAACAGTGGGGATTGGGCAGGAATCTACCAGCATGGTCCTTACCTGCCATCCGTGTTATAGTGCAGCTCCATGACTGCCCCGCTGTGTCCCTTCAGGGTGGCGTAGTTATCACAGTCCCCATAGACATTCCATAGCACTAGAGAAACAGAAGAGAGGAAAGTGGACAACATATGAAAATACATCTAATTCAGATTGAGAAATCTGCAGCCTGGAAAAGAGAAGACTCTAGGGAGATGTGAGAGCAGCCTTCCCATATCTAAAGGGAGGCTATGAGAAAGAAGGGGCTGATGTTTCAGTTGGATCTCTTGTGATAGGACAATGGAAAGTGGGAGATTTTGATAAGTACAAATTATTTTTACACCAAAAGTAGTGAAGCCCGGCCCGCTACTCACGGATCAGCCTGTCAAAGCCGGCAGACGCCAGGGTGTTGCCGTTGGGGTGGAACTTGCAGCAGTACACCTCTCCCTCGTGCCCCGACAGCAACATGATGGGCGCCTGCAGCGAGGAGCAGCGCGGGGGGCCCTGCGGGAGGACACAGGGAGAGAAGTGAGGGGCAGCCGGAGCAGAGGGCACAAGGAAAAGGTCCTCTCCATTCCCGCCCCCCTCACAGCCCCTACCGATTGTAGCAGAGCACCGGCTGGGGGCTGCCCGCCACCCCCTCCGCCCCCTCCGCCAGCCGCCGGTGGGTCATGGCGGGGCCGCTTGGCCGCCGAGGGCACGAGGGGGAGATCGGGACCCGGCGTGGGGCCGGGGGCAGCGCCAGGCGCGGGGCCGGGGCCGGGACCGGGAGCTGGGCCGGGACCTGGGCCCGGGACGGGGCCGCCCGGGGCCTTTCGCTTCTGCTGCTCGATCATCGCCACGGGCCGCGCGCGCCCGCCCGGCTCCCCATTGGCCAACAGCACGGCCTTCTGCCGCGTTGATTGGAGGAGCTTTTCCGGATGACCCGCCCTCTTCCCGCTTTCCTTCCGTCGCGTAGAAAAGACGTCTAGACGTCGCGTGAGAAATACGCGCTCTCCTCGTATGGATTGGCCGCGCTGACGCCGGAGAGGTCAAGGGGAAGGCACAAGATAACATGGGTCACTTCGATTGGCTGATTCTTGGCTCCCGCCAGTATTGCGCGCGGCGATTGGTGGGCTGAGGGGGCGCCTCGGGTGAGGGCGGTGCGGCGGTGGCTCAATGGTGGCGGCGTACGAGATGTGACTTTGTAGTGGGTTTGTCTGAGGATTTGGTCACGGGACGCGTTCTTTTTTAATTGACCTTTTGTATTTAAGGCAATTCTAGTCTTGCTGCGGTAGCCGGTTGAGAGGTGGTCGCGGATGATGTGAGCAGCGCTGGAGGGCCTGCAGTGTGTCACCCCCCGGTGCTGAGGTGATGGAGCCGCTGCCGGAGCTCTACGCCATCTTCCAGGGCGAGGTGTGTGAGCACAGCGCTGGGAACCGGAGGGAAATGTGGCTGTGTTCCTCATCGCTGCTTAGTTTGGGCTGTTGTCTATGTACATCTGTGTGTGTGTGTGCTCACACGTGTATAAACCTCTATAAGATGCTCGCCTGGGTAGCACAGGAGCAGCTGGCCCCATTTGCTCTTGTTAGCAGGCAGTGCACAGAGTTGTAGGAGATCACATGAACCTTCTGGATGTTGTGTGTGTTCTAACCACTTTATTGAGAGCTGTGTTTTAAATGTTGTGTTTTTTTCACAGGTGGCTGCTGTGACAGAATATGGGGCATTTATAAAAATCCCAGGCTGCAGGAAGCAAGGTTTGTTTCTGTTATTTTGTTTGGACTTGGTTATGTGTTGGTGTGTCCAAGCTAAGTAGCCAGCCTCAGAATTAAGCATTTGGCAGCTTTTAGAAGAAGTGTTTTTTTACAAACAAAGCAGCAGTTGATGCTCTCAGAAAGTAGAATTTAGATGGTATGCTTGCATGTGAGACTGAGGTCTATTTAGATATGGCTTTTTCCCAAGTGTGGTGTATTTAAATATAGGCAAAACAGGAATCACTACAACTTAATGGTTTGCACTGCTTATTTCTTTACTGGTCATGTGGAATGAGCTTAATGCAAAAGACTGAAATAAAGCTCAGATAAAACAAATCATGGCTGTCTTCAAGCTCTCTCTACAGTTGTGGGAAACATGCAGTGTGAAACAAAGTGATTTTACAAAAGAAGCAATAGTAGCTTGTTGTTCTGTAATCCAACAAATAGTCACTTCCCACTGATCCAAGAGTGCCAGTTACTTTTGTACCACTTCTAATAAAGGTTTTGGGCAGAAGTGTGTTTGCTGTAGAGAAGCTCTGAGATGCAGAGCCTAAACAAGCTGTGCTTCTGTACTTCTTCATACACGTGTATTACTGTATGTTACCACACAAAAGTAGATGTAAAAAGGATGAGCTGAAGATGAAAAAAAATGAATAATGTTTATTTTGTAGTATTATTTCTTGACAGTACATGATTTTTTTTTTTTTCCCCTTCTTCCAAAATTCCCATCAGGCCTTGTTCATAAGACTCACATGTCCTCCTGCCGCATAGATAAACCCTCAGAGATAGTAGATGTTGGAGACAAAGTATGGGTGAAACTCATTGGAAAAGAGGTAACTTTAATTCTTGTTGTGCTGTGTAGATATAAGTATATTCTAATACAGTATGCTGTAAGAACAGTGAGCTTTGGAATTCTGTGTGCGGGGGCTCATTGCTTTGTTGGGAGTGTGATGTGTGATACTTTCATACGTGACTTTGGGCATTGACCTGTGACTCAAAATAATGCAGTTCAGGTCTTCATTAAAGCTTTTGACTGAAAAGCAACAGAATTGTACTCTTTCCCTGCACACCCATTCTCACCTTATGTTGTCAAGGGCTGTAAGGAAAAGGCTCATACAACTTAATTTTTCAGTATGCAATTTTGCGTGATCTGGGGGATCTCCCTTGTAGGTCATAAATTTGAGAATTATAGGAGATCTTCCAATTCTTCCCTGGTGCAGGTTTGGTTGTATAGATTCTCTGTTAATCTGAAAAGGCTTTTAGTGATCTTGTCTTTTTTCTGGGTCAGCTACTTATGCAGAAGCTGTTCTATTTATTGGAATGCTCTACACTGAAAGTGCAACTACAGTATAATAGAAAGAATTGCTTTGGTTTGGTATTCTTTATAGTGCTCTGCTCTGCTACCAATTTCATTTCTTCTCTGTAGGCCTCCAAATGGATTGTATTAATTAGCATCATGTCATTTACTCTTCTTGTTCCATTTATTTCTCTTCCAGATGAAAGATGACAAACTGAAACTGTCCCTTTCCATGAAGGTTGTTAACCAAGGCACAGGGAAAGATCTTGATCCAAACAATGTTTCCCTTGAGTAGGTAAATCTACTGAGTAGAGTATAACAGGTCATGCAGGTTGCTGCTGCCTGCTTTTCCCTGCCTTTCCTTCCTAGCCTTCCTGCCATAATTATCCTCAAGGTCCTCCTTCCTTCAGAGGGTGAGGGAAGCTCTTTGTGAGCTGCTTAGCAGTGCACTGGCTGGTTGGGGGGCTGACTGAAGGTGCTTCCTTGGTTGTACTGCTTAGAGGCTGGCAAGAATTTCACTCCAGCAGTGAATTCCACCCCTTTGCACCCTGGTAGCATTTTGGTTCTTGCATTTAGTGGTGGTTGTGCACTTGTGCTGAGAAAGTTGTTCATCCAAGATGGGTATAGACACACTTGTACGTGGTAGGAAGCCAAATGTCAACTGCTCAGATGTTTCAGAGCTTCCTTCTCTACCTTTTCCTGTGACATGTCTTGCAGCTCAAATAAAACTCTCTTATTTTCATACTGGACAAGTGTGTGTATTCACCTAGATCATGCAGATGTTACTGTAACATCTGCAGCTAATTGCAGCTTATAGCATTTGCTTGCTTTGTGTAGAGGATGTTCAGTTGGTCTTAAAATAGAAGATAACCTAACATGCTCTTAATGGATTGGTTTATTCTCATGTGTAGGTGGTCAGCTCCATTCTTTGATATAGCCTAATTGTGCTTTTAGAGCAATGTTTAAAAGGGGGTGGGGAAATTTAGCTTGCCTATGTGTAAGTATAAAGGGTTGAGATTGAGAGTGGAACTTTTTCTTCTCTTTCCAGTCAGGATGAGAGAAAAAAACGCACATTTAGAGACTACACCAGTCAGAAGATCACACTTGAAGCTGTCTTGAACACTGTGTGCAAGAAATGTGGCTGCAAAGGTATGTTTTTGTGGGGTTGTTTTGTTCTTTTGGCATAGCCTTCTTCCAACCAGATAGTGACCTATGGATGGAATTGTAATGATGTCTGTTGTACTGCATTTTGTTTTGTAAAGACTAAATTTTGCTTTGAGGAGAGCAGTATTTTCTATCACTTGTTGTGCAAAGTGAAGACTTAAGTAAATTCCTTTTAGAAGGTGTCTTTCTTAAAATTGCATCCCTGAGCTTTCTTCTGAGTATGGGTTCTCCTTGTTTTTGTGAACATGCCTTTATAACCAAGGCTTTATTCCAGTTTTGCATTGTAAGAAATAAATGCATGCCTTCACCAGACCGTTTAACAAGGGTTAAAAAGGTCAGTGAAAATGACTTAACTGATTAGTTGCTGGAAACACAGTGTAAGTTTGTAAGCAGCTGTCTTAGAGCTCCAAGTAAGCATTTTTACCTAAGGCTTTTGTATTTTGCTTAGTGCAACAGTGGGAAGTTAGCTTATGTGGTACTTCTACAGCAGCTTTGTGACTGTTGAGGTGTAAGGTGTATCTTGAGTTTTTGCTGCATCCAACTTCTTGTTTGACCACAGAGTAAGTGGCTAGGCTGGAGTTGATGCTTTTGGAGAAGGTTAATAAAGACAGATATAAGGGCAGCTATTATACACCAGTATGGTTCTGTGCAGTGGCCTTATAAAATACCATTCTAAAGAACCCCCAAAACTTACCTAGATCCTACATTTTTCCACTCACCCACCAGATATCTGTCATTTCCACGTATACTTTTTCATGCTGCTTAAGTCCTTGCCCTTATTTTCCTGTTCATAAGCAGTGTCTTAGCTTTGTTTGACTAGTCTTTCCAAAATGATGTATTTTGCATTTATTCTTTTTTTAATCAGGGCATGCTAAATTAGTACAAATACCTGGACTAAAAATGTACATTTGAGATTGTTGTATTGTGGCTACTAATAAAAAAAGGTTGTTGTTGGCACTTTGGGTGTATGAAGTGCAGTTGTACAAAATAGAAGTGTCTGAGGATGGAGAGGGATTACACTTTCAAACACTCTTTTGCAGGTCATTTTGCCAAGGAGTGTTTCATGCAGCCTGGAGGGACCAAATACAGCCTGATTCCAGAAGAGGAAGAAGAGGAGGTGACAGCAGCAGAATGTGAAAGACGCAGAAAGAGCAGCTTGTCTGATGATTCTTCAAAGAAAAGGAAGAAGGTATGAAGTACCTTACTGCAAGTCTGGAAAAGTGAGCCAGACAAAATGGTTCTGTTGAGTTACAGCTATGACTTACTATAGCACATGATTGAGTGGTCAGTGCTGGGCTGAGGAAGTGGCTCCGTTGTGTGCAGGTTCGTTAGCTAAGTGGCAGTCTTTTCTGCAAACTCTGCAGCATTTCTTGTACTATCTCCTTTTATTCTTGTTAACTGTCCCTAAGCTGTGTTATAATGCATAGCTCTCAAAAGAAGTAAGAAAGGCATCTTTTTCTTATTGTGAAACTCAATAGAACTTACTTAGGTTTCCTGAATTTCCATGTTTCTTGCCAGTAGAACTCTTTTGTCTTCTCTCTTGCTGCTCTTATACAGTCACCTTTCTTTAATCTGAAGCAAATGCCCACTGCTGCCCTGCCAGCCTCTGTGGTGTGAACTTGGTATATCTGCACATGCCAGGGTAAAATCACAGATTGTATTTGCACAAGAAGCATACTCCATTTGCAGGCTATAAAGTTACAAATTTCCAGGGATCTTTTATGTTTTTGTATCTTAATCTTGGAATGGTTGAATTCTGGTTTCAGAGCATACTGATTTAATTAAGAAAAAAAAAAAAGTAGAAGAAACTTGAATCTAAAACAGGAGTGCTTGGTGGTGTGTCTCACTGTACAGAAATGAACATTCCATTTTGAGAGTTTGGTAACTAAACTCTTTGTCAGTCACCTTCACGTCACGAGTATCCATCATTCTTCTAAAGCCTTTTTCTTTCTCCTTTTTTTTTTTCTTTTTGTTTCCTTCCACAGCCTTACAACCATTCTGTTTTCCTAGAGAGGTGCAACAGACCGGAAGGGCAGTGGGATTTCTCATGTTTAGAAGCAGGTCAGGCTGAAGAAGGGGAGAGCTTTTGGAAGAGGTAGTGAGATGTGCTTTGCTTCCCAGTATGTAGGCTCTCATTCAAGAATGTGTTGGGCTTGTCTGTGGTATGTTATTATGCTGCAGTGTAGAATACATGTACTCTATGGTCTTGGAGACAGTCAATTGAACTGACTTGTCTCCCACATCACAGCATAACTGTGACTGTTTCAGACATCAGTTTCTGTCTTGCCATTGTGACAGCAGGCTGTTTGCAAAAACTCAGCAGAGCTTGCTTCTCCTACCTGGAGTTCTCCTCCCTCAAGAACAAGGATGATTTACCTGGTAATGGCTCACTTTGTCTTACAGTGTAGCTGTTATTTCAATTCTACTGGGAAAACTTGTACTGGGAGGTACACAAATAGTGCTTTATCACATTGGTGCCTATCTGACAGGGGTTTCCTGTGGAGCCTTGCCCTGCTGGGACTTCAGGATATGTGGGTCACTGCTGTGAATTGGTTACTTTTTTTGTTTTTTAGTCTGTGGATTAACAGCCTTTCTTTAAATGTTGTTTGTTTCTTTGATCTTCTCCCTTCTCAAGAAGGAGATCAAAAGTTTTCAGATGTTTTCCAGTGCTGGAAAATAAAACTCTTGAGTTTTCTAGAGGCAGGATGTGGGATCCTTGAAATGAATAGCTCCCTTGTTGGCTTGGGTGCCTGCTGTGATCTTGTCTGGGAGCCACCGTTGTGCTTCCCGGGTTGCCTAGATCCCCAAGAGGATTTACACAAAATAGAAATAGCTCAGTCTACCTAGTGAGAATTACTCTGCAAACCTTATCCCATCTGATGTTTGTTACATAGGTGTAGAAATATATTTTTAGTGAGTAGAGAGGTGCTTGGTAGATAGGAAACTGCTGTTTAGTGTCGTAGTAATAGCAGTAATGCTCTAGGTTGTTCATTATCTGCATTTTCTGTGTCCCTGATCTGGTAGTTCTTTGCAGTCCCTGAGTGCTTTTCCCTCCCTCCAGCATTTCCTTAAAGAGATGCTCTGGAGACCTTATTCTCTGCTTTGTCTGCATGCCATCCCCCGGGGTTACTGTATGGTTGTTTGTTGCTGTTGTCCTGGTTTGTGAGAATCCTGAAGAAAAAATACAGTGTTTTTTGTCCCACTGGAATCTCTTTTGTACCACAGTGGAGATTTAAATTTAAAAAAAAAAAAAAAATGTTCTTCAGTACTCTGCTCTTCTGCCTGAATTGTATGACATTTACCGAGTGGAGCTCTCTGCACTCACACAACTTCTGGAATGGCAGTGGGTACAAGGCTTTCTCCTTTCAGATCACAGTGTCAGTACTACACACCTCCTGTTATCAGTGAGAAAACAGTGGCTGGTGGCAGAAGCTCATCTAGTGCTGACACTGTGCTGTGGAAGCACCAGAGAGCATCTGGGGAGCCTTGACAGCTGTGCAGGCTGTTGCTGTGTCCCTTTCACTTTTACTCTGTGGGTCACAGGGTAAGGGAGCTCCTATGGGAACACAACATTGTGCCTGTGCTGAGCTTGCGTAGGAGGGAGGCGTGCTGAGAAAAAAAAACAAACCCTTCTGATTCTTCTCTCTTGCCCTCTGAGAAAAGAACTGCTGTTTCAGCACTAGGAGGAATATCTTTAATTTGAACTTTACAAAAATGACCTGTACTCTGCTGTGGTTTCACAATGGTCACTGGAATTGTATGGTAAATGTGATCTGTGACTGCTTTTTCTGCAATCCTTGCAGCTTTTTCTCCCATCCTGTAAAAGATTACCATGAAGTATTCCTGTTGTCTTTCACTTAAAACCACACCTCATTAAGTGTTGTTTGTTCAGTGACCTGTAACTCATCAAGCTCATCTATCCTTGCCTGTTGCTAGTACTTGTTTTCCTAATTCTTAAATGACAATAGCTCAGGGCATTGCAGAGTCAAATCCACTCTCTTCACACAGTATGCTTTTCTCTTTAACATTCTTACCTATGCTTTTCTGACTTTTCCTATATTTAATAAATTGCCATAATCTAGACTCTTCTCATCAGATAAATTCTAACTGGTCCTTAAACCAGGGATAAAATATATTTTTTTTGGATTTACATAGTGAATCTCATTTAATATTAAACTGAGAGATGGTTTATTTATTATATATTAATATAAACTTAGCAGGAATATCTGCACCTTGCTGGAGATGTGGGACAAACAGCTGGAAATCCATTTTCCTTTATCACAAAGACAGACATGAAGGCTCTAAACAACACCATGGCTACAAAGTGCTGGTGAAAAGTTCTTTAAGCTTCGAGAGTTGTGGACGCTCCCCTCTTATCTCAAAATCAAATACTTGTAGAAGGAATGAGCTGTTATGACATTCTTAGAATGTAGCCTCAAGCAATCTGTCTTACAAAGAACAGGAAAAAGCCTGGAGCAGTGTGGTCCCCTTCAATAGTACCAGCTTTTTCAGTTTATCTGGCAATAGGAAAGCCAGGACTGTCAGGCTGTAGCCCAGCTACTCAGCTTCTGTATGCCATCCCTCAACACAGTTCTTGTATTTGAAGGATTTTGAAGCAAGTTTATTCAATTTCAGTAGAACTGTAAGAGAGGTACTGGACAATGCATGTGAAGAGCTGTAATGGTCTTTGTACTTGTAAAGATGGTCAGAGAGGGCAAAATTTGGGCAAAATTCTCTCACAATGCTTGCACAAATGCAGCATTTGTAGTACTGAGGGAGTGCCTGGGTGTGCCTGAGAACAGCAGAGCTCATCAGCAGCAATCCCTTCTGGAGACCTGTCTGTAGTTCTGGGCTTGGGGAGGCTTTGTTGCTGTTATTAAAGGCAGAGTTTGGACATTTACTTTGGTACTGACATGTAAACCAGAGGAAGGCTGTGCAGTGTAGGTAAGTCCTGGTGAGCAGAGTGAGTCTGGCATCCAGTGGAGCATGGCAAAGCAGCTGAGTGCTGCTCATCCCATACCAGGATGCTGGCAATTAAAGTCAGGTCTGTGGTCTAGTGTCTTTTTCTTTGTTACTGTGATTGGTGTACCTCTCCCTGTAATCCTGAGGAGACAGATGTGACATCCTGTCTTATCTTCAGCCTTCACATGCTGAGACAGCTTCCCAAGCTCTGGAATGAAACTGTTAGTTAAGGTCTTCTCCAGTTTTCTCACCACGTTCACAGACTGGAAAAGCTTGAGAAAATTCTCCACACTGCATCCTTTTTCCTAGAAGGTTTAACTCTTAACAGTCTTCAGAAGAAGATGGTAGTGATTTGCTTCTGCCCTTGCCACGTGAGTCTTTTATGGTGCTGTGGTGAAGCTACAGAAACTGATACTTGCCAGAAAAGTGTGTGCAGTCAGCTTGGTTCTCTGAAACTTCTTTGGGGTCTGAGATAACTCTTTTTTGATATACAGCAAAGTCAAGGCACAGCTTAGAGCTGAATGGTCTCCCTAAAATAATTGTTGTGTTTCACATTTAATAAGCTACTAGCTTCCTTCTTTCTTTGTCCTTAACTGAGAGTGTCTATCTGGTGCTATGGCATGTTATCCATGCTGAATTGAGATTTTTAGATGGCTGCTCATGTCCCCACTCTTAGGGGAGGATGTGTTATTAAATAAAACATGTACACCTCTCAGCTTGTCTTCCTGTAAGCTGGTGTATTCGTGTGGAGACCACGCTTGCCTGGAAGTGACTGAAGCTAATGGAAGGAATGTCTCGTGGGGAGGAAGGAGAGAAATCAGCCTTCTCTGTGCTCATTGCATTGAGGCGCCTTTTTTCCCCAAGCAATCTGAAGACAGCTTGCCCTTTATAGCGTGAGGTGAGGCACTGGAGGGCTGCCAGCAGCTGGGTGAAATGCACTGTTAAAGCATACTTCCACACTGCATGGTCTTGGCTTTAACATCCTCCCTTGTCACAGTGAGCTGCCACAGGACCTTCAAGCCAGCAGCAGAAGCAGAGTCAGGATGGAAAAGCCAGTTATTACAGGGGATTTTCCCCCCATCTTTGCCTCATTTATTCTTTTTCTGTTCTTAGCAACTGTTTCTCACACGAGTACTGGTTTCTTCATTTGCAATCTTGTGGGTGAGTAGGCACATTGCCTTTCTCAGGCTTCCTTCTGTGAAGCGAGTTTCCTTTAGGTGGATGCTTTCCAGTTTTTTAGCTGGGATGGCTGTTTTTGCCTGGGTGGGGTGGGTGTGTAGCCAGCCCCAGGCAGTGCTACAGGCATCCCAGAGTGACTCAGGACAGGCCCACAGTGTCAGTGCTGGATTCAGACTTTCAGCACCCAGTTCTGATCCCAGCTTTGTTAGAGCAGGTAGAAATTCGTGAGTCATTCTGATTTTGTGCAGGTATCACCTGTGTATCCGTGGCTGATAGTGATGTTCCCTTTGCCTGTTCATGCATTCTTTTTCTCTTCCTTGGCTTAACTGTTCTTCTGGGTTGGCTGTGGATGCACAGAGCAGCTAGCCAAGAGAGGAGACCTTCCAGAAAATTTGTTCTGCCTGTAGCCCTGTGTCTTGCACAACTGTGCTGTTGGGCTCACTGCTTTTTTTTTGGGTTTCCTCATGAAATGAGTGCATGGCACAATCAGCCCTGCCAAGGCAGGGGTGTGATTTACAGCAGGCCTCTTCCAGTAAAACTCTGCTGCAAGCCCACAGGTGACCTTGAGGTCATTGGAAACACTTGGCATTGAAAATAAACAGAGCTGCTAGCTTGGGGTCTCCAGGCTTCTCATGTTACGCTCCCTTGCATAGTGGAATTTAAAACATGTTTTATATGGCAAACACTGAAATTGTGTTTGGGATTGTCAGTAGCAGTGCCCATCTCTGGCAGTGGCTCTTTGCTTTTGCCCCACTTGGAGGCTGTTTCCATGAGCTCACTTCCACTCTAGCTGTGTTTTTGCAAACCTGTGTGTTAATTTGGTGCTTTCAGGAAGAGCCATTCTTGGGCCCAAACTGTGCATGGAGGTGCAGTGCTTGTGAACTGTGGCAGGATGGTAAATCTAAATAAGATGCATGTGGTAGAGTATGTATGTGGGGAAAGGAGCTGGACTGCAGATAGGGGAAAAAGCCTCATCTAGTACAACTAGCACTTGGACTTGCCTGTATAACTGGATAATGCAATTGGCTGATAGTTTTCAGTAAGTTTGGGAAAGTCTATGCCCAGTTTACAATGCAGGTCAGAGCAGTTAGCACACACACATTGTCCAGGAATGAGCACACTTCAAGCAAAAACACCAGTACAGGGCTTAGAGCAGCAAGCTTTGCTTGCTGGGCTGCATTCCTCACTGCTATTGTCTAAGCCTATCACAGGCATTTGCAGTGGCATGGGTGGCCTTGCTGGCCCATCTCTGTTTTGTGAAAATCTGTTTTGCTTCTTTTCTTACATCCTTTTTACGTGCTTGAACTGCAATGAAAATTCATGATACACATCTGCAAAGAAAGGTCTCTTTCTTAGTGTTGATACGACTGTGGAAGAAAGCAGTGAGTGCTTGTTGCTGGATGGAATGCTTGCTGGACTTAGGTGGAGAGCTGGAATCACCATTAGCAGTCTCTGCATGCTTGACAACATACTGCATCTTGGGCCTGCTCACCTGCACGGTGCTTTAATTTACTTCCCAGAATCATGGTGTTGCTATTCTGCTCCCCTCTGGTGCTGGGGCTGCTTGGTTTGCACCATGCAGGTGATGGCCCAGCTGCTGCTTGGGGCTGTGGGGCACAGCAGGGCTGGTGCTGGTCTTCGTGTGCTGCCTGCACAGCCGGATCACATCCTCCCTCTCAGTCCTGCTGTCTAATTAAATAGATACAAATTGCCATCTCCACGCTGTTAAATGGTCTTTGTCTGCCTTGAGATTCTTTGGGAGGAGGTGTAACTGCAGTACTGATTTCAGAGTAATCTGTGCTAAGAAGTTACTGCTCAATGCCTCAAAACTCAGTTCCTCTTATAAAGTTCCTTGCATGATTTATTCAAGCACCAGCTGGTCTTTTTCTGCCCGTAAATGTTAGGTCCCTCTTGAACACTGTGTAGCTCTTGTTTCAGAGCCTCACAGAAATGCAGCCCTGGGGGCTCAGTGACGCCCCTAACCTCTGCCTGCCACGTGGTGGGGAGATGAGATTGTGCAAAGAGAGTTATTGCCAAAGGGTGCTTTCCTCATCCCATCTCCCCTCCAGGGAGGGCCAAGGGAAACTTCACATCTGAAAAACGTTTTGGGCCTTGGGGGGTGGGAGGGGGTGGTGTGGGGTCTGCCCCAGCACAGCTGCTCTAGGGCTGTGGTGTGCTGGGAGGCCCTGCAGGACTGTCCCGTCCCTCTCTCCGTGGTTCACAGGTAATGACTCTGATGGTTGAGGTTTCCAAACTATTCCTCTGCATTTTGGCTACACTTGGGCTTTGCAGTGAGGAGAAGGGTGTGTTGCTGTTAGTGCTCCAGTGCATTAGTGTTCTTTTCCTGGCAGCCTGTGGGCTGCTGATGATGTGGGGAAGTGGGGATAGCTCTCACTTCCAGCTGGCTGTTTTAGAAACCATTTCGTTGGCAAAAGTCTTCTTCCTGCCAACCCCTATAAAAAGGAATAGCCTTAAATAAATGGAGTACTCTCTTTGTGATGTGACTACCAGTATTCAGGCTTGGATTTCCATTTCGGTACCCACCTCTGTCCTGCCAGCTGTCAGACAGTGCCTGCTGTATCTATGGGCTGACACAGGTGGCAAAGTCCATGCAGCTGGGGCAGAGCCTGCATGCATCATCATGTTGGGACAGGCTCACTTCTCTCACAGCTTTTCAGGCTCTCATGACAGCAAATGGCTCGGTGCCCTGAGCACAAGTGACGGTTTTCCCATGTGCAAAGCTGTATTTGTTTTGTTTCATTTGATAGGAGAAGAAGAAGAAAAAGAAGCACAAGAGTAAGCAGTCCACTGAGTCTGACTCAGACAGTTCTGACTCGGACAGCGATGGAGCTCAGCCAGCCAGCAAGAGGGCCAAGCATTCAGGGAAGACCAGTAAGGCTCAGAAGAAGAAGAAAAAGAAGCATAAGAAGAAGACCAAAGAGTGACAGCAGGCAGAGAGGGGCACTGCTGTTGTGAATCCCTGGAATGTGCTGCTGGGAGCAAGCAGGAGCAAGTCAGTGTGCTCCTTGCAGCAAGTCAAGGAGTTTCCTTCTTCCAAAAGTAATGCTCAGCCTGTGTTGTTAAAGTTGTTGACTTTGCTGTAAGTTTTCCTCTGTTACCTTAGGCACGGGCTGCCTTTTTCTCCCACTGAGGCCAGTGGGCGTGCTTGCCAGCGTAGTCTAATTACACCCATTCATCAGCCCCGCTATCCTGTAGCCTCCTGTGGGGCTGGGTAAGCTGCCACCACCCTGCAGGCTCCCCGGTCAGCGTCAGCCCTGAGCTGTGACATCAGTCCCGGATGGAGTTGCCTGTAAAAGGTGGAGCTGTGTGTCCCTGCGCCCCAGCCTGCCTGCACATGTGCTCTGTTGGATGGGTGCAGCTGCAGTGACTGAGCACAGCCCTGCTGCACAACAGCTCCAAGGAAGGGCACTGCTATCTGTGCCCTAACCCCACTTCTTTCTCAATGCAAGGCACTGCCTGGAGGGGCTTGGTTCACAAGTTGGCTTTGGTACTCAAACCCTCCCCCTGCTGCATTCATTTTTGTGTCTGTAAACATTGAAAGTGGCAGAGTAAGAAGCAAAGTGGTGAGTGGTGATATTTTAAGTAAACATTAACTGTGGTGTATTTGCTGCCTTTGTAAAGGATGGAAAATAAATCTCTCAAATCTCCAGGTGTACTTTGTACTGTTTTCTTTCTTTTGTGCACTCTACGCTTTCATCTTGAGCAGTGGATAAAAGAGCCCCTGGCCTGCAAGCTGAGAACTGCCTGCTTAGGAAGAGATGGGATGTGTTATGGAGTTTTGATAACCAGGCAGGGAGAAGCCCTGTGCTAGAGCCTGCAGGGCTTCCCTGGGGTGAGGATGCCATCCCCACAAGAAGACTGGTGTGCAGTGGGGCTCGCTGTGATGGTCTGTAGTAGCGACTGCCTTGTGAGTCCTGTAACTGGAGCTGAAGGTCAGGGAGGTTTTGCTAAAGTGGGGCTGTTTTCAGTGCTGCTTGCCCAAATCTCATCTGGCACAGCAGGGCTGGGGCTGGGCACAGGGCTTCAGCCCCTGAACTCCTTCAGGTCCCCGTGGCCCAGCCTGACTTTGGGCTGGTCCCTTTCCAGCCCAGGCCCTGATGTGCTCTTGACCTTGACTCCTCAGCTCCTCTGTGGCCAGGCACGTCATACTGCCTGATGCTTTGGCAGGCAGCACCTGTCTGGATTAGTGCTGGGGAAGGATTGCTTTGGTTGGCATGACGTGTGCTCGTATCATGAATGATTTATAGCAGAGCTGCCATTGGAGTGAACTAATATCCCCTCCAAAAAACGGGCTGTGTGTCCACCTGGCGCTGCAGCACCGATGCAATGGGTGGCAGAGACCCTGAGTGCAGCGGGACCTGCCCTAGTGTGGGCTCACCAGTCCTGGGAAGTGGCTGATGCTGGGTTTTTCCCACATGTTGCTGTGTTTGAGAGCCCGATGGGTGCCCTGGGGGAAGACAACATGTGCTGTGCAGCGGATAAAGGGGATGGTGATAGCACATGGGTGCACATGCCAAAAGCCTTTTTCCCAAGCACGCCAGCCACAGCTCTGTAACAACATTGCTTTTATTATTTTTCCACGTGGGTTCTTCCATTAAAAAAAAAAAAAAAAAGAGAAAAATAATAACAAACATAACACCCTCACCCCAACCAGCCCCACGAGACCACAGGATCAGGGCACGGTGGCTTTGGAAGGCTCCAGCACTGCGGTGAGCCGCGCACCGCGCGGGGAAGGCAGAGAACTCAATGCTGGAGCTGGCACTGGGGGACGGGCAGGGAGCTGGGGACAGCCCCTATGATGCCTTCTCGTAGGTGCGGGTGGAGACAACACTGCCCATGGTGAGAGTCTGGGGGCAAAGAGCACTGTGAGCACTGGGGTGGGATCTTGGGCATCCCCCCATCTAAAATCCTTTGTATTTACTTACCAGAATCAATTTCCCATCCTTCAGCTCCCGCACTAGTGATGTCTCCTTCCCATCCCACTTCTGCACATGGACCAGCTTGCCTCCATCTAGCTTGACCAAGGACTGTGGAGAGAGAACAGAACCACCATTCCCCTCATGGCTGGAGCTTTGCTGCTCCATCCTTACAGCTTTGGATGCTCCTTTTCATCCCATGGGGCCCAAAGACCAGCAAAGGGTGCCTCCAGGATCCTTGGGTGCCTCCAGGATCCCTGGGTGCCAGGATTCCACTTGGCTCTACTCACCCAGCTTGGCACAGGACAGCTGCTGGGTCACAATCATAGCCCCAGTTGCCCCTTGTTGGCACCAGGGGCCACTGGCACAGTGACCCTGCCCCCTGCCCCACAGCTGCATCCTGAGCTGAGCTGTTCAACAAGCCCTTGCTCATCCGGGCTCCTGTTTGCTCAGCCGCTGCTGTTGACTCAGCCCTGAGAGCCCGGCCAGTGCCAAGGTTAACGTGACAGAGGGCTTGGCTGTGCCAGCATGGGAAGTGGCACAATCTGCCCAGCTCTGTTCTGCTATCCCCCCACTGCCTGACACCCAGTCCTCTGCCTTCCAGTGATATTTCTCAGCTCCAGCCCAGGGGACCGCATGCCCCCAGCTGTCCCAGCCTCTTGTCCCTTGCAAACGTCCCTGTGCACCCTGGAGCACAGGCACCCAAGGGCTGGGTTTTGCATGGCTCAGGTCCCCAGCACTGCTGCTGCATCTCGCTGACCTCATGGATTGGTTGACATAGCTCAAGTCCATCCAGCCCAAGGCTTCAGTGCTCCATGGATCAGGGTTCTGCATGGCTTAAGATTCTCCATCGTTTGGTCTTCTCATAGTTTGAATCTCCCAGTGGTTGGATGTCCCCATAGCTTAGGACTTCCCATTACCTGCATGTCCTCAGGTCTCCCCATTGCTTGAGTCACCCCATGGTTGGATGCTCCCATGAATTGGGTCTCACCATGATGGGGGTCCCTGCAACCCACTTGGTTTCCTTCATGGGTAGGGACTCTGCACTGGTTTTGATCTCCTCATGGCTTGAGTTACCCATGATTGGATGCCTCCAAAGCTCAGCTCTCCCCATTAGTGTGTCCCCATAGCTTGGGTATCCTCATGGCTTAGGTGTCCCCATGACTTGGATGTCCTCTTAGCTCAGGTCTCCCCACGGCTTGGATGTCCTCATCACTTAGGAGCCTCCATGACTTGAAAGTCCCCAGAATTCAGGTCTCCCCATGACTTGATGTCCCCATAGCACAGAGGTCCTAATGCATTGGGTGTCCCCATGGCTTGGGTGCTCTGCAGCTCAGCTTCCTTCAGAGCTCAAGTTCACCTTTCCCTGCACCCCAGACATTCTGGGTCCCCCCCAGTTTGGTGGCTCCTCATCTTGGAGCACCTCACAGCCCCACAGCTTCCTGCTTGGCTGCCTGGGGGCTGTCAGATGGGCCCCATTTCATTGTCTGCCCTCTGGCAGCCAGCCGAGGGGTGTCTGAAGGGCACATCCCTGGCTGCTTCACACGTCCCTGCCACACACCAGCAGCCAAAGAGCTTTTAGCATAGTTTCCACCACCCTGAGCGGAGCAGCCCTATGCTTGGGGCAGAGCTGTCACGAGACAAAGCAGGCAGGCTGGTTATAGTCAAAGCTGTGCATGGAAATATCTCCTAGGGGTCAAACCTGTGCTCTACTGCTGCTCTGGTTCCCCAGCAAGATGGATGGCGCCAGGATAGGCTGAGCAGATGGAGCAGAGGATGAAGACAGGGATATGCTGCAATGTCTGCCTGGCACTACCGCCTTGCTCGCACTCGCCCCATTTCAGCCCAACCTCACTCCCCACCCAGCCCTGTGCCTGCTTCCCCATGGGGCAGGAAGAAGTTTCGTGTGCCTACAAGCCCCGTGATGGCCCCCAAATCTCTTTTGCAACACAGCCACTCAGTTACAGCATCGCCTTCCGCAAAACCCAGATGCAAGTGGAGGCAAGGGGTGCAAAGGGCAGAGGGAAGCAGCCCCCCAGCTCCCTCACCTTGACGTGCCTGTCGTCGGCCGTGGTCTCATCGAACTCCTCGCCCAGCTTGAAGCTGATCTCTGTGTTCTTGAAGGTGCTATGGGTCTTCACCGTCACCTTGTCACCATCCACCTCGATGATGGTGGTGGGTTTGGTCAGGCCGGCCATCTGCCTGGTGGCAAAGCCCACCCCTGGTTGGGGGACAGGGGGTCAATGCGGTGTCCCCATGCGTCACCCCAGAGCCCCTCCCGGTTTTTTGGGGGGGCTTTTTTTTCGACACGGGGGGGGGGACCCACTGCATCCCCACGGGGCCGTACTTTGTGGGGGATCTGGGCATCATTCAGGGGCTGATCCTGCACATTTATGGCTGGGCAGAACGGGAAGCACCTGTGGTCACCACCCCTCCAGACCCCTCTGGGGCTCATCCTGCCCAGGGATGGAGGATTCAGGACAGCGGATGGGGGCACGAAGCCCCTGGGATCCACTTCATCAGCCCTTCCCCCACACCGGGGTTTCGGAGGGGGGGGACCGGGTGGGGTGATTCCACCCGTTCCCCTCCACCCCGGCAGCAGCCCCTCCCCAGCACAGCACCGCGTTGCTCTTTCCTATTTTTATTTCTATATTTTATTATTCCTATTTTTATTTTTCCCTTTTAAACCCATGCAGCAGCCGACGATCCCCACCCTCCCCATTAAAAAAAAAAAAGAAAGAAAGAAAAAAAAAAAGGCGGAAAAAACGGCGATTTCCGCCTTCCCGACCCCGCACTCACCCAACGCCTTCATGTACTCATCGAAATTGGCCGTGTCCACCAGCTTCCAGGTGCCCACGAACGCTTCCACCATGGCGAAGCCGCGCGTGTCCCCGTGTCCGTCTGTCCCCGCAGCGCCGCACCGCCCGCAGCTGCCGCCCGGCCCCGCGGCTCCTTAAATACCGGCCCCATCACATGATGGGAAGAGGCTCCAGAAATACCCCGACGGGGACGGGCAGCGCTGCCAACCGCCGCCCCCCGGCCGCCCCCTCCACCCCCATCCCCTGCCCGTGTGCTGTGCGCGGCCCCGCGGAGATCGCGGACGCGCGTGGGTGCGTGGAGGCGAGGATGTGCGGTGCCGATGGCCGCGTGCTTCACGGTGAGGTGTGGATGGAGGGGGGGAAACTGAGGCACGGGAACATCCGTGGGGACACGGGGGATCGTGTGTGTGTGCTGGGGGCAGTGAGGGTGAGGACGGCCACATCCCCATCCCTCCCATCGCTGGTGATTTCAGTTTAACGCCTTTTGGACCCCCTCAAATCTGCCCATCCCAACAGCTGCCCTGGGGTCTTGGTTCTGCTGGGTTCAGGCTTGAAGCCCCCCATGTCCCACGGGTGCTGTCCACCACTCTCCCCCACGGGTGTGTCCCCACAGGGTTGGTGGCATCCGGGACACGATCCCCTCCTCCTTCAGGCTCGGGTTGCAGCATGCCAGGGGATTGCGGTGGTAGTGGAATTTGGTGTCCCCTGCCCCAGTGGGCACACGGCCCTGGCTCAGTGATGAGCCTCCTCCCATTCCCCCCCCTCCCGACCCCTTCAGTTGTGCTGACAGCTCTGGGGGTCCCCTTGGCCAAAGTGTCCCCAACTCGGGGGGACACACAGGAGGTGGCTGTCACCTTTGGGGACATATTTGTGGGAAGGGGTGAGCCTGTGGGGGTCAGGCATCTTCTGCCCAATATCAGTCCTTTGGGTTTGGGGATTGGGTGGCAATCATTGAGTGTCCCCATACCCAGCACTGCAGGGCATCAGGGTCAAAAGCGAACATGCCTGGGTGACACTCGGGGACACTTTGTCTCTCTTTCCATCCCCAAGGTGTCACTGCAGGCACCCAAAAATAGCCAGGGGCTCAAGTTCAGCCTCCTCCCCACGGCCTTGGAGGGGCTGCGAGTGGGAGCCCCTGTCCCTTGGGTGGGACAACCGCCAGTCCCCGTGGGGACAGAGCACGGAGCACTGTGTCACAGGGAAACACACAGAGTTTATTATCCAACCATGGCCCTGGGAGTCACCCAGCTGCTCCCCAGAGTGCACAGTGCTCCTTGAATACACTCTCCAGGTGCCACAGGTTGGGGACGGGCCTGGAGGGGTCACCTGTCTCTGCTCCTCCCAGAGCCATCCTTGGGCATCAGAGTCCCAAATGTGCATCTGGGGCTCCCAGCATCCTCCTGGTGCAGCAGGGCTACGGTACATGGATGTGCACATGGACACACACACAAACATATGTGCACAGGGACAGCCATCCACAGGGGAACCCATGCACGTGGGTACCCACACACGTGAACACTCACATACATGGACAACCATGCACATGGGTATTATTGCACACCGGCATCCATGCACACACCCATGTGCACAGGCATCCACACACGTGGACACAAACACCCACCCGCAGCAGCACCCACACACAAAGACCCCCACAAACACTGACATGCAGAGGCACACATGCACACGGACACCCGTGCACATGGGCTATTGCACACTGCCACTCACGCACACAGACACCCATGTGCACGGACACCTCTGCACACAGCACCCACCCCCAGCAGCACCCACTCCCACATGTGCCCGTGCCCACGGACACACGCTGTGGCTCTCAGTGCCACCCACCCCACACAGCTCTCCCCTCCCCCAGCACTGCTCAGAGCAGGGTGGCCCTTAGGACTCCATTCCTTGGAACCACAGCAAGAGCTATGGGTGACCACTGGGTTACCACCTGAGGACAGGAAAAGATATGAGCACGATGCCCTTCTCTGGCCCCCCACCAGCTCACCCCTGCCATGCTCTGGAGCTGGGCCACATGTTTTGTCCCCAGCAGCAAGTCCCAACCCAGTAGGCAGCAGAGCTGTGAGTGGCAGAGATGTCACTGTCCCCAAGGGTGGCTTTGCAATATGATCCCAACTGAGCTCCCTGCTCCCCCGATGCAAGAAGCATTCTGGAGCAACGCTTGGTGAGGTGCTGGCTGCTGCTGGGAGGATCTCCTCCCCAACCCATCAATGATGCTTCCTCCAAAAAAAAAAAAAAAAAAAAAAAGGATCTTGGATCACCCACTGGAAAAAGGACAGGACACGGACGTGGTACCCAAAACATCACAGTGAACAACACTCAGACCCCCCGGGCTGCTCATGGCATAGCCCCCCCCAGCTGCTCGCTTCTGGAAGAAAAGTGTCCTCCTGTGGGGTGAACGTCCCCATCCTTGCCCTGCGTGGGAATGAAGTGTCCCTTTGTCCCCACAGGTCCCCACGTGGCTCCTCTCCTGCAGGCGATGCTCTCGCTGCATGGCACAAGGGCAGCGATGCGGATGTTCCGCAGCGTCCTCACCCTACTGCTCAGTCCCCCAGCAGGGTTAGGACGTGTCCTTCAGCTCCGGGCTTTGGGGCTGCGGTGGGGGAACTTCTGCAGATGGTGACTGCATCTCCTGGGAGCTGCCTGTGGTGCGAGGAAGGCGGTGAGCAGCCGTGATGCCACCCCCATGTGCCACCCCCATGTGTCACCCAGCACCCACCTGCACTCAGGGACATCTCGGCCAGTTTGAGGGGCAGGTCAGAGGGGCTGACGCCTGCCGGTGAGCCCAGGATGTCAGGTAGGGCATTGCGGCGTCCAGTCCTCCCTGAGGATGCGAAGTCCAGCACCGGCTCCACCTCGGTCATGCTAACCCTGATGAGATATGGTCCCCTCTCCATCAGTGGAGTTGGTGGAGGCCCAACCACAGTGCAAACCTTGCCCAGGCGTTCTACCATCCCCATGGGTCTCCCCCATCCCCAGCACAAGATTCAGCATAGGAACCCCTCCTCTCGTTTGCGGTATCATGGGAAAAAGGGGTGCAATGGAACCCTCTGCCCCACCACCAAGCCCTCCAGCATCCTTACCGGGCGCCCTCCAGCCTGGCCTGGCTGCGTCTCCCCACTGCCCTGGGTGCTGCTCACGGGAGGCTGTGGGCTGGGAGACCCCCAGCTCTGGCCTGGGGGAGGAAGAACAGAGGGTGAGCTGAGCCCATGGCTGCAGTGCCAGTGGGGTGCAAAGGGGGTGGAGAGGTGTCCAGTGGGGTGGGAGAGATGTGGGGTGCAGCACCCAGCACCCTCCTGCAGTGCGTCTATGAGTGACTAAAGCAAAGTTGTGAAGTGCAGGGGGGAGGTTTTGTACTTGGTGCAGGCAGGAGAATGGGATGGGGGTGAGGGAAGGATGGATGGAGGAGTGAATGGAAGGATGGAGGGATGGACAGAGGGATGGAAGGAGTGATGAATGCAAGGAGCAGTGAATGGAGGAAGGGAGGGAGGGAGGGAGGGATGGATGGAAGGATGGATGGATGGATGGATGGATGGATGGATGGATGGAAGGATGGATGGAAGGATGGATGGATGGATGGAAAATGAAAGGGGATGGAGAGATGGAGAACCAAGATGGGGATGGAAGGAGAAATGAAGAGATGGAGGAATGGAGAACAAAGATGGGATGGAGGGATGGATGGAGAGATGGAGAACCAAGATCGAGATGGAAAGAGGGATAAAGGGTTGGAGGGGTGAAGAACCAAAATGTGAACATGGAGGTGGGACAGTAAGGGAGGCCAAGAGGAAAGAGCAGGGTTGGCTGCTTTGCCAGGAGACAAAGATGTGGCATGCTCAGCCTGGCCACACATAAAATGAATCCCAAAATGTTCCTTGGAGAGGGACTTGTGCTGCAGCAGCTCTCTGGACTCCATGGAGGTGGCGGGCACTGGCATGTCATCTCAGCCAGCCCTGGGCCCATCACTGCCAGGTCCCTCTTAGCACTGACGGATATCCTGGCCTTTTGCACCCGGGTTCCTGCAAGCTGGAAGCTTGGTGGTGGGTATAGGGATGGCACAGACAGTACTGAGGACAGTCTGTGACCTTCCAGGCATGGTTCACCCTCCTGCAGCCTGTACATTGGCCTGCATTCCCCTTCGGTGTTGCTCTGCAGGTTGTATTCAGAACTTCCCTTCCTACCTACTGGCGTGGTGCTGAGTGATGCCCAGGAGCCCTGCCCGTGTCCCCAGCCCTTCTGCCCCAACAAAACTCACCGGAGTCCCTCTCAGATCCGCCTGTGCTCAGCCAGCAAGCCACGGTCCCCTCAGCCACAGGAGCAGGAGGAGTGACACTGGCTGAGGCTGCGGGCGAGGAGGTGAATGATTAACCAGGCTGTGAGTCACGGGGCAGGATTTGGCCCTGCGCTGCCTTGGGGCTGGATGAGGAACCCCCGAGCTGGCTCTGAGTCCCACGGAGTGCACGGTGGTGTCCTCTGGCACACGCGTGTGCAGAAATGGTGCACTTTGGCACGCACGCTTGCATGCACAGCACCTTCTGGCACACGCACGGTGCCTCATGGAACATGCATTTGCATGCATGGTGCACTCAGGCACGCATGTGCGTGTGTCACCTGCAGCTTTCAGCATCTCTTACCCCACAGCACACATCTGCGTGCACCTCTTCCACACTGCATCGCAGCTCTGCCTGCCTGGTGGGAGCAGTCAGCCCAACAGCGCCCTGCTCCGGCCCCAGCACACGGCTGCAGCGTCCCTGATGCTGGTGCTGGAGCATCCTGGCAGTGCAGGAGCAGCACTCTGTCACCCTGGCAACCATATGGGAGCAGGGCCTGGCTGCTCATGCCTCGGCCAGCGTGACGTGTGAGCACAGGAGCGTGCACAAAGCGTGCATCAACTGATGCATGCACACAAATGCATGCAAACATACGTGTGTGTGTGATCACTTGCACACAGAGATGCACGTGTATGCATGCAGACATGCATGCACGCACACACAGATGAGTGCACACACACACACACACACACACACACACACACACACAGCCTCTTTCCCTCTGTGTCTGCACAGCTGGGCACAACCCTGTCAGACAGCAGCCTGCAGGGCTGGATCAAAGCTGCCTTCCCGGCAGCCCCAGCAGCTTCAGTGCTGCTGTAGGAACGTGCAGCAACATCCTTTAGGACCAGGCTGGGTCCTTCCCACCTCTGGGCTATGTGTGTTGCAGTAACAAGGTCCAAGGTGCAGCTGCCCGCCCCATGCCCAACTTGCTGCCCTGCAGGCAGTGAATTAACAGAGGTGTTGGGCAAATAATGTTGCATAAGCCCCAATCTCCACCCTGTGGTGGGGATTTCCCCTCCAAGCAGGGCCGTTTCTGTGAGGCTTAGCATGGCTTCTCTTTCAGAAGGAGTCACATGGAAGGTCCTGGGGCTGCTGTAATGCCCTTAATGGGATAGAGGAGAGTGGTGCAGAAATAGGTCTTAATCCCTGTAAGAGATGGGCTGCAATTGGAGATGCTTGGATGGGGTGGAGGGAAGACACAACATAGGGACATGGCTCTCACACAAGTTTTCCCTTGCCTGGATTTTGAAAGAGAAGAGCATAATGAAGGCAGCAGTTTCCATTCATGCTACTTAAGTTCCCAACACCATAATGGGAGAAATTATCTCCTGAAACCCATTTTGGGGTTGAGCTGAAGGAGACACGGCAGCCTTGGCCCTTAAGGGGGATTTGTTCAATGACAAGTGTAAGAATTTCCATTTTTAACCTCCAAGTGGCTAATGGAAGGTGGGCTTGGGCCACTGAGGGTTCTGGGTTGGGTTGTGTTGGGTTGATTAGGGTTTGCCCTTTTGATGGTGTTTCCTCACACTCTAATGGAAAAGGATCAATGCTGTGTCCTCCAATAAAGGCTGGAAATGCTGCAGTCTCCAAAAATCCACCCACAACCCCACAGCATTGAGACTATTAGGAGATGATGAGCACAATTAAAAAAGGGGAAGTGCTCGTGAAGTGTAACGCTGAATACAAATGAGTGCTGTGAGCTGGGGAACAACGAACTGCCCCATATCAGATGAGAATGAGAGCCTTGGGCAAGAAAACCAGCATTGAGGAAAACCCAAGGGGGCTGATTTGAGCAGAGATGAAACCCACTGAGATGCATTTGAAGCCTGCAGCAGCAGATGGTCATAATTAAACACCGATCTGGAGATCTCCCACACAGACAGCAGGTTGGCCCCAGTGTTTTTTGGGTTGAGATCTGGTGCTGCTCCAAAGCATGGAGTAATGGCCGTGGGATTTACTGTGAGATCCCCTCAAATTGATGCCCAGCCCCTAAAGGTCAGGCACAGCCCAGAGCCCTCAGCCTCCAGCCCATGGCTCTGTCACCTCAGTGCAAATGTGTGTTCCCATTGTCACCAAGCAGTGGATTTGCTTGTTAGCCTAATGGCTTTACACAGTAATTCCTGTCACCCTATAAGCCCTTGTCATCACATCCAGCACAGGTGATCTCTACTGAAATCATGGGATGCGGTCTTGCAGAGGAGCAAGCAGCGTTGCTGCTCCATGCTAGGATTGCTGCTCAGGGCTGACAGCGAAGCTCGCCTGTAGTTATTGCCCTCATTAAACCAGGAAAAATCCAACCTGAGTCTCTCCAGACAGGATTCCGGGCTGTTTGCATAAACTGTCACTTTTGCTTATAATGCTGAAAACACAAATCAGAGCAAGTCCTGCTCGAGGGTAACAGCGCGACTGGCTCATGCACTCGCTGACATCCAAACTCAGAGCTTCCCTGAGCATCTGAAGGGCAAACCCAACTGCTGCCAACGTGAACCTGGTGCATGCATGAGGCAGAGGTGTCCCCCAACCTGCAGACCCCGATGTACCCATGTCTGTGCTTTGCATTATGGGGCAGCATAGCATCCCAAAAGGAACCGATGGCAGAAAATCCCTACAGAGCTGGGCTGGACCATGCTGAGGTAGGAAAGATCAGCCACGCCGATACCCCACCAGCTAATGACCTCTAATTGCTGTCCACAGGATGTGTCCAGAGGAGGATGGAGCGTGAGGACAGGAATTTCTTCCTGTAACTTCCCCCTTCTGCCACGTCGCAGTTGTAAAGAAGGTGATCTAATGGGAGGTAATTACAATGATTGAGCCCTCGGTAATACAGCTCCCACTGTAACCTTCAGTTAGCTGCTCTGACGACAGCACAAACTATAATTTTACATAATAATTGTGTCACCCACACCTAAATCGGTTTCATTCTCTAGCAGTTCCAAGCTCCCTCTACACATGGCTCTCCAGCAGCCCCTCATACTGGAGCTGACGGACCTGATCTGTGGAAATGCTTATGGGTTCCTACATGGATGTTGTACCACATCCATGAGGGAACCTCCTGCTTCCATCCCACAGCAATACAAAGAGCTCCTGGCCCCACAGGGACCCGTTCCTTCTGCCCCAAGGAGTGGTGAATACAAAGACAGATGCTGGGGACAGCAGCTCCCCAGGGAGCTCCTAACACCAACCCTAACCCCAATCCTAACACTAACCCTAACTCTAAACACAACAAATCCTAACCTCAACCCCAGGCCAACCCAAACCCCAACCCAACTCCAACTCTAACCCTAAACCTAACCCCCAACCTTAACCCCAGCCCTAGCTTTAACCCCAATCCTAACCATAACCCTAACCCTAACCCCAATCCCAGCGCTAACCCTAACTCTAAACCCAACTCTAACCCTAACCACAACCTTAACCCCAACCCCAAACCAACCCCAACCCTTACCCTAACACCAGTCCTAACCTTAACCCTAAATCTAACTCTAACTCTAGCCCCAACCACGACCCCAACCCCAACCCCACCCCTATCCTAACCCTCAACTCTAACCTTAACCCCCAACTCTAACCCCAACCCTAGCTTTAATCCCAACCCAAACTGTAACCCTAACCCTAACCCCAACCCTGATCCCACAGCCATGTCCACTGATGCTGGCAGCCAGCAGATTCTCCTTCCCCGTGCAACTGCCCCATTAAAGGAGATGGAAACCAC